AGAACGTCATTAACCAATGCACTTCATGCATCATGACATTGTATGCTACTAATTCTTTACCTTTTCAGGAAAGATCAACAGACGAATGTCATCATCAATTTTCAAAAAGTTTCAGATTAATACCTGAAATAAGATAGAACAACTATCCGCGAACAACTGATTATAGATTAATACCTGAAACAAGACAGGACAACTATCTACAAGACCAGATTGAATATTAACTCCCGAAACAAGATGGGGAAACTATCTTTCTTTCTCTAAGGTCAGATATTAATTCCTGAAACAAGACATGACAACTATCTGTGAACAACTGATTATAGATTAATACCTAAAATAAGACAGGACAACTATCTGCATGAGAAGATTTAAGATTAACACCCGAAACAAGACAGGGAAACTATCTTTATTTCTTAAATAGGTCAGAGATTAATTCCTGAAACAAGCCAGGGCAACTATCTCAACGACCAACAAAAGCAAGTTCCAAATTAATTCCTGAAACCAGACAGGGAAACTATCTGTGAACAGCTGATTATGGATCAATTCTTGAAACAATACGGGTTGACTATCTACACGACCAGACGAAGCAATCTTACACGGGTCTCTTCTCATGATCTCCAGATGCAGCTTTACACGGGCTCATCCTGAAGCAGCCCTACACAGGCTCATTCTCATATATCTCCAGATGAAGTTTAACACGGACTCATCCTGAAGCAGCCCTACACAGGCTCCTTCTAATATATTTCCATATAACAGTTAATTTCATTTTCCCCAGTAAGTTACTGCGAAGCCTGGTTTTCAACCAGAAAATAACTAACTTTCATCTCTCCAGTCCAGAGATAACTCCTCAGTAGAGCCATGGAGAACTAAAGCTCCTAGAATCTATTCCCTACAGAGTTTTCTTCAAGCAAGAGAATAACAAAAATCAACATTCTCCAGTGAAGTCCTCCTCAGACAACAGGAACAGGAATCCCCACAAAGAGACCTCTTATGAATTCAACATCTACTTTGGATGGCATATTTAAGTCTATCTCTGGCAACTCTCAGTAATCTTCTCCAAATGGCATCTGTAAGCCCATTCCTAATATCATCAACCAATGGTGTTACTCCATGCGAGTGCAAATTTATGGGCACTGTAGTGTTCAATCATCTTCCACCTTCAGATCACGAAAGGCAGACAAGCCAATCTAAATCTTCAGGTTTAAGAAGATTGAACAGGGGCAACTGTTGTACCCCAAAATTCGCCCTTCCATTCTATTCAACGCATTCTCATTGAGGTCCTCATTTGCTCAAGGTTGACCAAGAATTGACCAGACAAATTATTCTCCTAAGCAATGGATTTCCATCTAAGGTTTCATTTCTCACAAAGAATTTTGGTTTGCAAGGGCTTCAAATGATTTCCATGGCACCCTATACGCCTCAGCATAATGGCATAGTTGAAAGAAAGAAAAGAAGTGTACATGACAAGGTGTAGGTCGAAAGTTGAAAATATGCCTAAGAGCTTTAGGGTCGAAGTAGCTTCGACAGCAGTATGCGGTCTAATTTAATGCCTAACAAAGCACTAGAATCGAATGAAGGATAGTTCGATTGGAAGAGCTGAACAAAGCTTCGACAAGCCAGGAGGCTTTTATGAAGTCTTCGATTGGAAGAGCTAGTAAAGAGCTTCGAAGGGTTCGTTTTCAAACCCTTGAAATATAAGTCATTCAAAGAATTACAAGGAAAGACACTTCGATTGTCATGTTGATTGAATTGGAGCTTAGAAAAGAGGAAGAGTTTGAATTCAAAAGCGTTGACCTTATGGTTCAAAGGACATGCATGTACCTAAACAGGCGAGGAAGAAGTTGGATGATTGAAGTAAAGTCTTGGTGCTCATAGGTTATCCTTCGGTTGGTGCATACAAGTTGTACTCACCAATCGAAGATGAACTAGTGAGCAGTAAAGATTGTTCTTGTAAACGAAAGCAAAGGGTGAGAGTGGATTCGAAGACACAGTCGCAACTGTGTTCGAAGGAAAGAGCAGAATGAAGCTTCGACAAGCCAGGATGAAGAGGTGACATTTCGATTGGTTGAATCGAAGCAGAGAACAAAATGAAGCTTCGACAAGCCAGGATGAAGAGGTGACATTTCGATTGGTCGAGTTGAAGGAAAGGAAATCAAAAGGAACAAGAACTGAGTTCGATTAGGCTGATTGGATATGAGATTTTTCCAGATCAAACAACCAATGCAAATGGTGACTCAATCGAAGAAGCCATGATGATGAAGCCTTGAGCAATTCGAATTGGAACTCAGAGCCATTGAAAATAACAAAGTTTGGGAGCATTCGAAAGAATCAATTGATGTGAAATGAGCTACAAGTTGAAACGAAAGCCTAATGGGATGAAACTTGTTTAGGTTCACTCAAAGTTCAAAATGGCATGAAATATCTCAAAATGACAACTTTCCAAATCTTTCGATTCTGCTTTCAAAGCCATGGTTATTGGCTGATTCATGCCATATTTGTTCACCACCACACCTCTATAAATACAGAGCCAAAGTTCAAGCAAAAGGGGGACATTGCCTATAAACACAGGGGAAAAAAACACCTCAAAGAGCCACACGAAAATCATAAAAAATACATCAAAGTTTCCAAATTCGAAAAGCATAGTGTAAGCTTCCTCAGTCCAAACCAAGTGCATTATTCACCCCCTGAAGGTCCCAGGAGAGATTCCTAGGCCTTAAGCAATCCAAACGCACCCAGAAACGCGCTCATTCGATCCTTCCGTTTGGTAAAAAATTTGGATCTCAAACTCGTTTAACCTTTAATTTAAATCTCTTTCGATTGCATATTCATGTTATTGTAATTATATATGAATGCTTTAATGTAATTCATGTGAGTTTCAGTTCCCAAAACACAAAATGCAATTGCTAGGGCATTTGAAATTGGTTCCTTCGAATCTCAGGATTCATGGTGTTTCAGGATAAAATAGCTTCAGATTTGGACTCAGGGGTTCGAATTAGGTGGGGGTTCGAATTAAGGGGAAAGACCTGGGTTCGACACCCAGGTCATGAATTTTTCTTTTTCTAACAATTGTGTTCCATATCCCATGCTTGCAGGTCTAACGTGCACACCATGCACTACATGGTCAACACCAGTAGATCCCATCAATCCAGATCCAGTACCCTCAACGTGTAGTCCATCACGCACTTTCAACAACCTCCTTCATTAGATCGAAAGACAACCTCCCTCGTTAGATCGAAGGACAACCTCCCTCATTGGATCGAAAGGCAACCTGGGCCTCTTCTTGATCTGGGCCTGTGTTTTTTAAACATACCCCCCCTGTTACTTTTACTATCCTGACCCATTTACTTTTTTTGTTTTGTTTTATTTATTTGCTTTTAATTGTTTTATTTTTTTTATAACATTGTAAAATTAGATTAAAAAATCACAAAAAATATTAGGTTAGTATTCTCTCAAATTAATTAATTAAATATTTTAACCCTTTTCTTAATTTAAAAATAAACAGACTTAGGATTTTAAATTAAATTTCTTTCCATTATCAAAAACAAACAAAAAGATTTTTCCTTTTTAAGTTTTAGACGTTATTTTCATTTTGCGCGTGTTATTATCTTTCGCATTCTATTTTTCATATTATTGTACCTATTTTCTGGTTGTAATAGTTTAAAGTAGGATTTTTTTTCTTCTGCTTTATTCCCCATTTTGGACATGTAAATAATCCCCTCATCGAAGCCTCGTAATAGCTAGATATACATTTCCGCACTTTTAATTACTGCAAATTATTAATTGTTTAGAGGTATGCTAATTAGGATTGTATGGAAAGAGTTTAACAAACAAACGCTAGCAAACCTAACACAAGAAAAATAATTGAAAATAATACACTCTCACATATAGACCTATAGGGTATCCCTACTCTGATTGCCTTCAGAAAAATAGTCACAATTCTCGAAATGTGAGAGATTTTAGTGGCTACCCACCAGTTTAAAGATCATAAGCCCCTCGATGACCCTCTCGACATTGCCTCGGTAAAAATGATCTTAAAATCCCAGGGTAGTTACTAAGGTTTCTTGCCGAGTTGCCTTTGTGACTGTGTAAACGTCCCTTCCAATGCCCCTCAAACACCCAACGACTAGGGCTACCTACTCACTAATAGTATGATAGCACTGTCTAAAGGAAAAGAGGAAAAGAACAACCTTTCCAGTAAAAGTAGATAGTTCCTAGATGCTATGCTCAAAACAAATTTTTACACTTACACAAAACTCCTTTCAAAAACATTTTCAAAATGCTTTATCAACACTCTTGAGGACTGATACAAGAGTTATCATAAATCAAGTTGCCTTACTATTGGAGTTTCAAAAACACTTTTCTAAACACACAAAACACAAGGTATTTCAAAATGATTTAAGCATCTAAGAGCCCGTAGATAAACTACTGATGGAAAGGGTGCTAACACCTTTCCTTTCCATAATCTTCCCCCTTACTCAAATAATCTCGAAAGGTATTTTTCTATTCTTTTCACCCTTTCCTTAGTTGGATAAAAGAAAAGTCGCTGGCGACTCTTGCTTACCGTAACATTTACGAATGCAAACGCAAAATCAGTATAACAGTCGGTTCTACCACCGTATCATGGTTACTAAAAAAACATGAGAAATTAAAACTAAAAGAGAAATCATAAGGAGAAAATAAAAGAAGGTCACGGGTGGCACTTTTGATCTAGGGGGGATGGTCCTAAATATGGCGCGTAGGCCCGTCCAATAGGGTCCAAACGCTCTTTTTTTGTTTTGGGGTCCAAAGGTCTTCGGCATGCCCAAAAACGGTGTATGGGCCTAATGGGAGTGATCTAAATAATAAAAGTAATGTTTGGCCTAGGCATTGATCCGCTTCTACATTCATTACCTCACTAAGTCATATTTTATTCATTAAACAAAAATAAAAATAAATAAAATATAATAAATTAAAAAAAAAACAAAAGGGGCTTAGGGTTTTATGCGACTTCAATTCTACAACATATGGTTCTCCCTTCTTCCAAAACCCAACGCCGTGAACGACGAGTTCAAGACCACCACCGTCGAAGCTCCACCGGTGCACTCTTAGAAGATTTCGTATATGTACCACCTTTCCCAACCCTTGGATCATTTCTCAGAATTATTGCACCTGGAGGAGTAAGGCATATAAATCGATGATGAAGACGCGAGGCTACCAAACTTCTAGTTGAAAATCGCAAACATTCAGACAAGCATTCAAATTGTTAATCATGCGAAATGATGCACAACAAAGAGAACTAGTGAATCTACCTATCGGATTTTCTCCGATGCGTCTTTGACAGCAACAATAATAAGAGAAGAACTAGAGAAAGACTCCAAACTTCAAGTATGCATCCCTTTCGATCCTTGCTATTACTTCATCCCTTGCTCATTCTGCTTCTTCTTTCCTCCTCCACTCTTTTCGTTTTCGCGATTCAAATAGGATGCGATATGTATATTACGGTCCTTGTAGCATTCCGGGTTGTTGCAAAGAGGGAAGGAGAGGAGAGATTTAGAGAAAAAAATATGAAGGTGTGGGTGAAGGAGAGTTGCAGATGATGAAGAGCGTGTGAGATTGAAGAAGGGTTGAGAGAATCTGAAGATGATGATTCAGGAATTTGGTGAATGAAAAAATGGTCGTGTATCCTTGAGATTGGAGGTGAGGTGAAATTATATAGATATGAAACTCTGAGATTTAGTTACAGCTTGAAGAATCTTGGCCATTGGATGAGGAAGGTTAGTTAGGGAAATTAAAGGTGAGATTTGAGTAATAGAGAGTTAGTTATGAGGAAGTTAAATTCTGTTATGAATCGGTTAGAGGATTAAGAAGTTAGCTAGGTAATTCAAAATTCTGTTGCAAAGTTAGTTATAGGGATCTAAAGAATTAGATTGAAATTCTGTTACAAGCTGTTAGCTGTTAATGAATTGTCAGGACCAGCTCAGTTGAGTACTAGTAGACTACTGTAAAAATCACTACAATAAAAACTGTTAGTAGTTAGGCCATGAGAAAACCATCACTCTATATTAGTGCAAGTAACAAAAAGAAAATGTTTGCTTAGAAAACAAAGCTATTAGTTAAAACTATTTAGAAAATTTTGTTATGCTGTTAGGAAAAGTTAGTTACAGATTTTTTGAAGTTTTGTTTGATGGTTATAAAATTAGTTGAAAGTTAGTTAGAAAAAAAGTGAAAATCTGTTAGCTAAGTGCAGGGCGGTTTATTTGAATTTTTAACGTTACTATTCTGTCTGTATATATGCAGGGCTGCAAGTACTCATGAGCTGGTTCTGGATCTGATTTTCACTTTCTTCTGGTGTTTTCTCTTGCATCATTGGGTTTTGGATAATAGGTGCAAGAGCTGAGTTTGGTATGAATTGTTTCATTTTTTATACTGGCAAAGTGAATTAATTCTTCTATTATTCGAATTTGCGAACTGAGTTGGTATGACGAACTTGTAGGTTTGCAAGACCGATTTTTACTCAATGCAGAGGTTCAATTTCTGGTCTTCAACAACAAACAGTAGGAAGCTTAGGTTTTAGTTAGTCTTGATCTGTTGTGAGATGCTATGCAAATGTTTTTATTCTGTTTTTCTCATCTGTGCAAAGTAACTTTGTATTGAGACAGGACAGCAATGTGTTGTATCATGAGTATGAACTACTCTGAAGTATCTTCCTATTTTTGTAAGGAAACTGGCTTGGTTTTATGTATAGGTGCAGGGCTGAACCAGTTTTGTAGCAGATGGGGGCTCTTTAATTTCCCTTTTGGAATAAGTCTTGAAGTACACTTGGATTTTGATTGAATGAGACGTCTTTTGTAACTTTGGTGTAATGACTTGAATTTGTAATGAACAAAACTTTGTAAATTCTTGCATGACAAATTCCCAATTATTTAAAACATTTCCCTCATTCAATTTGAGCTTGAATGAATATTTGAATGACCTTGAGAAAACCATGATAAACACTTGAATGTTATTGGATGAATCTTTTTATCTTTTGTCTTGGGATGAACAATGATGTGGCATAATCTTGAAAATAACAACTTGAATCATGAAGAAATTTACTTGATACCATGTACTTTAATCTCAACTTATGTTCATATGCCATCTTCCTCTGTAAGAACTTATGAACTAAACCTTAGGGCACACTATTTTTTGAATCAAGTTGAACCTTAATCTATGTTTGAAACCAAAGTTCTTGAACAAATATTCAAATGATAGCTTGTACCAATTATTCATAATGCCTTGACTGTCATGTAACCAAACTTATCATACAAAATATCTTGAATCATGACGTACCCAACCCTAATTGATTGACTTATGAATAGATGGACTCAATGCAACAATGACATAGTCAGCAACCTGTAGCCCAAGCATCACATGCGTCTTAGATTGATAACAAATTTTGATCCTTTAGAGAAATCTTAATACACCTCTAGTATTGATAAAACCTTGACCAAATGATAAGCACAATAATAGAATGGGGTGTCTTGATTCAAAGACCATGTACGCGAGATCACAACCTTAAATTATTGACAAGAATACCCTGCAACCTGTTGTTCAGCATAAGATAATAATAGCCTTGTAGCTTGATGGAAAAGAAGTCTAAAATGAACATGAACCAAAACCCTAATTCCACGGTCTTGTACACCAAGAAGAAACGGAATAATCAATCATATTCAATCATATACACATCAAATCAGTCATAAAGCCTAGCTTCATAACTGCTAATCTTTTGAACCTCGAGTTCTCTTTTAAAATGCAAAATCTATGTTATATTAGTGACCTAATGAAAAGATGCGAATGCGACAGCCTAAGCCAGATAAAAGAAATTAGGAGGGAAAATTTTGGGGTGCAATAGCATGACCATCCTCATCCTGCTGATTCTCCAAGAGCTCCTCATGATCTGGTCTAGGTGGACGTCTTAGACCATTGGGTGTCATGATAAGGTATGCCACGTTAAAGAACCATGTCACATATCCCTCTATACATTGAAAACTCTCGGATGTCGGCATCATCTGATACTCCTGTGGTACCAAATGACTCTCCCAATCTTAAAATATATCATCGAGATCTCGATAGACAACAGTGTCGGAAGCAGCCTAAAAGAAGATGTGGGTATCATCTACACAAAGCCAAATGGATGCACATCATGTTAGTCTCTCATGCAAGCCACCCGAAGTATAATGAGATGGGGTTGAAAGGGACAACATCCATGTGATCCTCGAACGTCGTCCATTTCATCTCATCATGATTAATATGATCAAAGTAAACCCAGTAAAGCAACACTTTATGATTCCCTCTGTGGAGGACATGCTTTGCAGCCCTTAGCATATCGTCAATATAAGTCGGACCAGACTCGAAACCATGAATGTGGTGGAAGTGAAAGATTATCCAGCTCTAAAACACAAGTCAGAGAATATGTAAGTACAAAATATAGAAAGCAAATTAAATGTAATAGTTGGAATGAAAGGTACCGTGAGGAGTGTGCAAGAGCCAGTGAGCTGCCTCATCCTCCAGTTTGAAGCTTCATCCAACTTCTGGTAGAGGTATACCAAAATGGTGGTCCCCCAGTTCCACTCATGAACTATACTCAATTCCATAAAATACCAGAGGTATATCACTGATGCGTCCGCAAGTGCATGGAAATATCGAAGTAATATAAAAGATTGTCGAATCCACAGAGACCAATATTAACCTACTGTAATTTATTGTCGCTTTGTAAAGCTAAGGCTAAAGAGTGATTGGGTTTGGGGAAACTAAGAACTAAAACTAAAATAAAATGAATATTAAGATGAATATAATAAAAGAGGGACCAAAATGTGTATTCCGCGTATCTCAGGGACTCTTTAACTCGTTGGCTTGTACTGATGTTAAAAATGCGTTTAGTAGAAAATACCAATTTAAAAATAATATCTCACACTCATGTGGTTTTGAATAAAGTCACGTTCCTTAACCGTAGTATTTTGCTCTCGCTCACCCACTTGAATCAAAGAACTCGTTTTGAAAACTGAACAAGTTCTAATTAATTCTAAAGCGCTCTCGCTGTGTTAAGGATTAATGCCTAGTTTTTACTATCTGGTTTGATCCCCACGCTCTCGCAATATTGGCTCGAACCTTAACTAATTTCCCACTCTCGTGGAAAAACCGTTGTTAAATAACCTCTCACTCTCGTGACAAGGCTATTTAAATTAAGTTTAAAAACAAAGACCAAAACATAATTTCTAAATAAAACATTAAGCCAACATTCGTTACCGAGTCCCGTCGGAGACGACGGTCCTCACATACAGGATTCTAAATAATTTAGCTAGACATGGAATTAATTGAAAATGAATTAAACATAAAAAATTCAATTAAAAACAATATGGTAATTAAATTACCAATCATAAACGATAATTATAATAAAGCAGTAAAGAGAACCTGTAAAAGAGAAACTTGAATTAAAATTGAAATTAATATTCAATAATTAGGCAAGCTTATGATCCAATCGTACAAATGAAAGGTCCTAAAACTAATGGTGTGCTAGTTCCTCGATGTGAAAAACTACCACTTTCACATACTGAGTTTTCTGCCTAGAAACTAAGAATAATAATCTGCGTATCAAAAACTTCCATCCCAAAACAATGAGTGCTAGGTGCTTTATATAGTGAGAAATGCTAGAAGTTATCATGTGAAAAGTATTGGAGATAATGGAGAAAGAAGTGGAAAAATGGGAAGTGGAAAAGATCATGGGGGTGATGATGAGCTTCGTGAGTGGTTACGTGAAGAAGACATGGAGAAGAACTTCTTGTTTAACACTGAAATCATCCTGTGATGAGTGGCATGCAATGTGTGATGTGGGGCACACATATTTTCATCTTGTGTCGAGCGGGACATGTTGTGTATCGAGGGGCACACTAATTGAATTTATGGCGAGCGACATGGGGCTGTGACGACCATCACAGTCCTCTGATGTTGTTTCTTTTGTTTTCTGCTACAAAGTCACACATTTTCTGTCATTTCTTCATGTTTCTTTATCCTTTTCATATTTAGGTTCATTTCTAGCATATACCTAAAATACAATAAAATAACAACATAATATGACATAAGTAAATAGAAATGATAATAAAATGCATGCAAGTCGAGCCAGAAAATTCGATATAATTTCGTGTTATCAAATATGCCCACACTTAAACCATTGTTTGTCCTCAAGCAATCGACCAACACGGTAAAAGAAATGATAAGAGAGCTTTGAAATAAGGGCACAACACGACTCCTAATCATATGTGGCTTTTAGGCTAATGCTAGTTTGATAGGTACTAAGTATCCAATACCAAGGATACCGTAATGATACAATGTTCAAAGACTCCCTTTTCATGTAGACCAATTCTAATCATGCCATTATCGCTCAACCTATATCTCTCGTTTTTATTTCACCATTTCCATTCAAGTGCAATCACATTAAGCCTGTTATTCGCACACGCACATAGTAGGGAAATCACTTAGCAATTATGATCCTTTTCTCGGGGTTCTGGTACGTAAGTTTGGTAACCCCTTTTATTTAACCAATCGCAGTTGCGGGGGATCGGACCGTAGTCCTCCCTACCAAATTCAACACCAGAAACCTCTGAACCAACTAATGACGGGTAGATTTATTATATTTTTGTAGGTTCCACAACCGTTGGATTAAGTGACCGAGTGAGAGTCACCTAACTTAATAGGTGCATTCCCTATTTTAAATTTATTATGGCAAATAATTTTCTATGACTAAAAGCCACATCCGGACAGGTCCGTCACAGCTTATGCTACCTAAAGGGTATTCCCCAGATCCGGGTTAGGATCTATGAAACTCCGATGCAAAGCCCACAAATATAAAAGCAAACAAAGCAAGCAATTGAAAATAAATGTGATCTAAATCCTAAGGTAACCCCACTTTTAGATTATTCCCCAGCAGAGTCGCCAGTTCTGTGATACGGTGGGAGAACTGACTTGAGGTTTTGCATTTTGTATTCGCACTTGTTCGGTTTAGCAAGAGTCGCCACCGACTTTTTATTTTATCCTAAAGGAAAGATTAAAAAGCACAGGAAAAACCTTTTGAGATGTTTCGTGGGTTCGGGGGGTAGATTATGAAAAGGGAAGGTATTAGCACCCTTTTCATCCATGGTTATCCATGGGCTCTTAGTTACTTGTTTAGATCACTTGCCTTGATTTTCAATTGTTTGAAATTGTGGTGTGTGTGTGTGTGTGTGTGTGTGTTTTGAAAATGTTTTGAAAAAGACGCCTTGTCTTAGGCAACCGTTGTAATGACTCGTGTTTGAGTATATACAAAGGTGTGTATCTTTTCGAAAAGATGTTTCAAATGTTTTTGGAAGTTTGTTTTGAAAGTGTTTGTGGAGTGTGGTTTTAAAAAGTAGGCAAATGTGTTTTGCAAGTTTTGATCAAGTAACTAAGAGTTGTCTACCCCTAAATTTACTCAAAGGTTTTCCTCATGTTTTTAACCCTTTTAATAATTTTGTTCCACCATTGTATTTGGTGGACAATCTTGCGTTAGGATGTTAACGGGACAGGCGCGGGTCATCGTATGGACCATGAATGCAATGGTGCCAAGTGTCTTTGGCGATTTTGCTTGAAGGGACTATGATCATGTTGATAGGCAACTTTCGAAAGCGTCATCGAGGGACTATGATCATTTTGATTTGTTTTGTATTGCCAAAGATACTCAACGTGCAAGCATGGCCCATTTTGGAAGGCAACAAGCGGGATTACCCTAGGGGTGCAAGTGTGATTGTGTATTGATTTCATGTATTTGTCTTGTATTAGGTTAT